AGATATTCTCAAAATCTAATTCTGTTCCACTCTGCCTCCTTTTGCCAAATTCCCCTAAGTTCTATCTTATTAAGTCTTTGTAATCATGATAAGGTTACATTTTCTTCCTTATACTTAGATCAACTTCTATACTCTGTCGTATGGTGATCTATTTCATCAGCTCACATGAGTTTAATTGTCATTTTTTATGCAGATGCCTCTCAGATCTACATATTCCCCAGCTCTCACTTGACCTTCATTCTTATATCAAACTGCATTTTGGGCATTTCAAATTTGATATCCCATGGACATCTCAAACTCAACATGTCTTAGCTTTCCCTCAAAGCCCGTCCCTCTTTTAAAGTCTCTTTTTTATGTTAAAGGTGATGCCATACTCCAGTCTCCCAGGTTTGCAACCACAGCATTATCCTTGATTTGTTACTCTATCTCATCTTTTATATCTAGAGCTGTCTCTTCCTCTCCCCCATTTCTGTCTCCACAATAGTATTTGCATCTCACCCTTTCTCTCTTCTTAAATGACCACTCCAATCCAGTCCCTTATCAGTTCTCACCTGGCCCTAGAATTGCTGGTTTATCACAATAGCTTCCTATTCCTATTCCTAGTCTCTCTACATCAAGTCTCTCTCCTCTGTTATCTGCCACACAGCTGACAAAGTGATATTATTATAGTTCATGTTTAATGTCACTTTGCTCCAGTTCCCTCAAGAATATCCAATGGCTCCCTCTATCTATCCTCTAGGATAAAATAAAAGCTCCTACATTGAGAATTTAGAGCTCTGTATAATATAGACGTAGTCTATCTTTCCAACCCTGTATATTATGCCCCTTCCTATAGTCCATGGCCCAATTAAACTAGCCTTTTTTTTGCCTATTCCTTACATGTGACATTTCATCTCCTATCTCCATGACTTTTCACTAGGAATGCACTCCCTCCTTACCTCTACCTCTTAGATATCTTTTATCTGCTTCAAGACTCAACTCAAGCAAAACATCTACATGAAATCCTTCATGAACCCCAAGTCCTTAATTCTTAGTGCTTACCCTTCCACAAAGTACCTTGTATTTATTTTGTATATAATCCATACATACTTATCCATATACATAACGTGTCTCCAAATAGGATGTAAAGTCCTTGAAAGCAGGGACTATTTCCTTTTTGTCTTTGTATTCCCAGCACCTGGAACAATTATCTGACTTTGTGAACTTAATATAGGATTGTTGACTGGCAGAGTTCTATGTTCATTTGTATAAGGTCAATCAGAGGCTATCAGTTTTATTTTTGATTATCTTCTTGAATATTTTTTCTTATTAACATTGGTCCTTTTTCTTGCTATTTTTTCCTTTGTTATCTGTCATAATATTTGTACATATGAGGCTTGTCAGAATTATGTGGGTAGTTTTCTCCTCCCATTTTCAGTTTATAATTCTCTTTGTCATTTTCACAATACTCCAGGATAATATGTTCTTAATAATCATAACTCTGTACCCACAAAGATATCATTATTCCTATATTTTAAGCCATTGTCATTTGGATCACAACCCCAGATGCTATCTTCTTACCCAGTTGTTCCCTTCACAAATCTGCATACCCTTTGACCCAGCAATAGCATGTCTACTATGGAAGTGTTTTGAATAACTGCACCTGTATAACCTATATTGAGTTGCTTGCCTTTTCAATGAAGGTGGATGGGGAGGGAGGAAGGGAGAAAATTTGGAACCCAAAGTTTTAAAAACACGTGTTTAAAAAAATGTTTTCACATGTAACTGGGAAATAAGAAAGACAAGAAATGGGGTACAGAAATCTATCCTGCCCTACAGGAAAATAGAAGGGGAAGGGGATAAGAGAAGGGGGGAGAGATAGAAGGGAAGGCAGACTAGGGGAAAGGGTATTTAGAATGCGTGCCATCTTGGGGTGGGGGGAGGGGCGAGAAGGGGTGAAAATTTGGAACTCAAAATCTTGTGAAAGTAAATGTTGAAAAGAAAAAATAAATAAATTTATTTAAAAAAAGACAAAAAAATAAAATATGCCCTCCCTTTAATCATCTCTTCTTTCTTTTATTCCCTTCCCTTCCTACTTCCCTGTAAGGTAAGATAGATTTTTATAATCAATTGTGTGTGTGTGCATGTGTGTACAACTCTTTGAACCAGTTTAGGTTTGAGTGAGTTTCTATGCTGTCTCACTTCACCATCATTTGCTCCTCCACTATAAAACCTCTTCCTAGGGCACCTCTTTTATGGGATATATTTCCCCCATTCTTACTCTCCCTTTCCCTTTCTTCTGGGGGATCCCTCTTTCTCCCCATCTAGTTTTTTAAACATCATCCTAACATAATCCGAATACTCCCACAGCCTTGGTTTATGTAGAATCCTTCTAACTTCTACAATAATGATAAATTTCTTAGAAGTTAATATATCACAAACAGAAATGTAAACAATTTAACCTTATTGAGTCCCTTAAGATGTCTCTCAACTTTACCTTTTTATGCTTCTCATGAATCTCGTATCTGAAAGTCAAATTTTCTATTCAGCTCTGTTCTTTTCATTGGGAATGCTTGAAAATCTTCCATTAAATATCCATCTTTTCCTTTGAAGGACTATACTCAGTTTTACTGGGTAGGTTATTGTTGGTAAGAATCCTAGCTCTTTTGCCTTCAAGAATATCGTATTCCAAACACTCCATTCCTTTAACATGGTAGCTGCTAAATCTTGTGTAACCTTGGATATGGCTCCATAATATCTGAATGGATTTTTCTTCCTGGCTATTTCTCTGCTTTTTTTTTTCTGGCTTATGTTTGAAGTATTTTCTCTTTTACCTGGGAGCTCTGGAATTTGGCTAAAAAATTCCTAGGAATTTTTGTTTTGGAGTTTCTTTCAGATGGTGATCTGTGGACTCTTTCAATTTCTATTTTACTTCAATATTCTAGGATATTTGGGATAGTTTTACTTGATAATTTCTTGAAATATGATGTCTAGGCTCTTTCTTCGATCAAGGCTTTCAAGTAGTCCCATAGTTCTTAAATTATCTCCCTTCCATTGATTTTTGTGCCTCTTTTACCAAGCTATTAATTGTCTTTTCATAATTGTCTTCATTTGCTCTCATTTCTTTACCCAATTTTTCTTCTACCACTCTTATTTGATTTAATTTTTTTAAACTCTTCCAGGAATTCTTGTTGGGCTTACATCTAATTCGCATTTTTTTCCTTTAAGGTTTTGCTTGTGCTATTTTGATTTAATTGTTTTCTTCTAAGTTTTTATTTTGATTTTCCTTCTCACTATAATAGTTTTTATGATCAGGCTTTTCTTTTGTTCTTTCTCATTTTCCACCTGTTTCTTAATTTTGAACTTCATGTTAAAGTTGGTTTCAGCTCCTGGTGGAGGGGTGAGGAGGAAGACTGTCCTGAGCATTTATCTTCTAAGGTCAATTTGAGTAATTGTAATTTCTCTTCTATGAAACAACTTAACAAATATATTCATGGACTCAGACATTTTCAAGTGGAAAATTTAGGGATAATTTTATTCTGATACTAAGTTATGGAAACTGATATATTGGGGTTAAGCTAGGTGCCCAAGGTACTTGAATTCATATCTTCTTCCCTCAGGCTAAGTGATCTTTCTACTATTCTATGCTGATATTTACATTTACAGACAGTGATCATACCTCTCCCCTCCTAAATCGTCTTTCACAAATAACATGAAATTGTTTGAATCTCTTCAACACCATACATTATTACCCTGGATGCTCTAGGACTTGTTAATGTTTTTCTCCACCCCCCCAAAAATAGTACTTGGAACAGTGGTACTATTGTATTCTGCCTATGGACAACTTATCTTTTAATGAAGATTAATTTTATCTTTTTAGTTTTATATAACAGTTTCTAGATTTATAGCTAGAAGAGACCCCAGGGACCATCTAGGCCAACTTCCTTCTTTTACAGATAAGGAAATTGAGATTCAAGGAGCTTAAGTGACTTGGTCAGAGTAACCAAGATAGTAAGCTTCAGAGATGGTATTTGAACCCAGGTTTTCTGCAACCAAAGTACATACCATACCAACTCTTCAAATACCATATGGGGTCTGGGGAAAGGGTTGCCAGGTTTTTACCTTGATAACTCCAGAGGTCATCTTTAACTCTTTTGTGATGTGAATGTTGCAGCTAGACATACCCATTTAGTTTGAGAAAGCCATATATATTTTAATTTGTTTTTTTTCCAATTCTTTTTTATCCTATTGCTACTTAGGGTATCTCTTTCTAGACTTATCTGAGTTATAGACTGATATTCCTCTTAGTTTATATGATATTCTTGGATCAATAGGGTCCCTTTCAAATCATCCTCAGCATTTCAAAAAGCAAAATTACAAAACAATAGCTACCTAGGCCTTGTGACCTCCTCCCTAGTCCATATATAGATATGGTTGGGGAGATAAAGGTAAAACAATTGCAAACATATGTTTGCAATTGTTTTACCTTTATCTCCCCAATAAATATCTGGTCTCCCCATACATGTTCCATTACTTGGAGTTTCTTGATATGGCACTATTTTATTTACCAGACACTGCAAACTTCTGGTTAGAAATTATGAATCACCCCATAATCATTTAATAAACTTTTATATAATGAGATTATCTCCTGATGATAGAAAAATCTGAAAATGCATCACTGAGGGCAGAATTTAGGAGAGAATTTGGAGACAAAAAATTATAGATAGTATTTTACATTATTATTTTGTGGCTCTTCAAAATTATTACATTTCTAAAAAGTTAGTAATAATATTTATATTTGTTGTGACAAAAAAGAAAGCAAAAATTAAGATGTTATGAGTCATATGAATTTTCCATGAAATGTGAAAAGAATAAAGTATACCTTATTTGAAATCTATAGATCCCATAAGTAGCAATATAAACTGTTATAGATCTAGAATGATGAGTTGTTGTTTTCTGCTTGCTGTCTTTTCTCCACCCAGATTATGATTTTTTAAGGCTTTACTCTTTTCTCTCCATAGAGCCCACCGGAATGACCTTGAAAATATTGTCCCATTCTTTTGCATTGGCCTCCTGTATTCCCTGAGCGATCCAGACCTTACCACAGCCTTATGGCACTTCAGAATCTTTGTTGCAGCCAGAATTTACCACACAATTGCCTATTTGACACCTCTTCCACAGCCAAACCGTGGGTTGAGTTGGTTGATTGGATATATAGTTACTTTTTCAATGGTATACAGATTGCTGAAGAATAAATTATACTTGTAACAGACAACATAACATTCAACCTTTAAGTTAGTCTTTTGCTAAGAATTTTATCTCTTCTTAATCTTAAATGATTCATTTTTCCTTTGGAGTTAAAGGTAATGGTAGAGGAGAGAATTATTTTGAATGCCACCATTAATGGCATCTTTGATTCTAGATTAACATTTTTGTTGGAGACTTTCCATAATGACCCCTCATTTTCTACTCTTTTCCCTTATCAGATTAATGAGTGTAAAGCATTGCATATATTATATGACTTTCAACTTTTCAAACTTTTACATATACAATGTAATGATTTTGGTTTGAGTTATATTGTTGTCAAAGCCAATGTACACCAATAAAGGACTAAAACAATGCATTGACTTGTTTTTCCTTTTAATACTGTGGTGGTAAAAATAAAATAGGGTAACCTTAAAAGACACCTCAAAATGAAAACCCCCAGGAATACCATAACTAAAATCTAGAGCTTCCACATCAAACAAACAGTAACTTAAAGAGCCAAAAAAGTACCAAAGAACTATAATAAAGGTTATATAAGGCTTAGCAAAAGGTAATATAAATGAGCAAAGAGCCTTAAATACAAGATTTCCTCACTCTCCCCACAAAAAAAGGCCTACAACCCAGAATAATCTGTTTTGCAATAATATATAAAATCATTGGGAGACAGGAAAATAAACCTTTAATTAAGTAGAAGGGTTCTTAATGAAAAGGCCATAACCAAGGAAAATCTTTGAAATGCAAACACAGGAGTCAAGAGGAACATAGCAAGATAAATACATTTGTTCAATTGGAAGGCATCAAATGATGATGAATTGTTTACATTCTAATGGGGGAGAAAAAATGTGTTCTCTCAGAATCTTAATGCCTTTAAGAATCATTAAGTTAAATAAGAAAGTTAGAGGTCCTATGAGAAGTGGTTTTGTTCTCTTTTGATAAACTTAAGAAGGAAATGCAAGGAATAAAAGAATGTACTATAGAAGAAAGGAAGAAGAAGAAATGAAGAATATAATATACAGGAAGAGGGGATGCCATCCCCTCAAACTCCCTTACATATATATAAGGCAAAGGAAGGTCAAATACTCACAAACACTAACTCATTCACACACACACACACACACACACACACACACACACACTTTCATCGTCACATACAAAGAGCATGGTGTAGAAATAAATTTAGCTCAACAAGGAAAATGAGGAGACAGGGAGAAGAAAGAAGAGGAGTTAAGAGGAAGGACAAGATAGAAGAGAGAATAGCCATAAGCAAAAGAATTTCTAAGACTTACAAATGGACTATAAAGTGGTGAGAAGAAAAGAAAGAAGGAAGGAAAGGAAAAAATCTAAGATTGGGGGTGGAAGAAAAGAAGGGAAAAGAGTTAGAAATAGGTCAGTCCATCAGAATCCTCAGATTAATGAAATTCCATTTTCACCTCTTTGTAAAAAAAAGAGAGAGATAAAGAAATGAAAAAGTACAAGAGGGAAATGCAGAACTGTCAATTAAAACCACGATTAAATTAAACACAAAACAATAGAGATAGAAGATAGCTTAGAAAGAATTTAATAGAACATTGTTTACAAGAAACACAATAAAACATAAATGTTCACACAAAGTAAAAAGTCTAGAGGAAAATCAATAATGTATTTTATAAATTCATATCATTAATGGTCATGATTTAGATAAGATGAAAGCAAAGAGACCTACAAAAAGATACATAGGGAAACTGGATTATGCTTAAAGGTGACACAGCTAATGAGTCAATATCAATATTTTATATGTATAAATGCATACATATTGTGTGTGTGTGTGTGTGTGAGTGTACTGAATGCTATAGTATCTAAATACTTAAAGGAAAAGTTAATCAAATTGAATGGAGAAATAGTAAAACTGTACTATTGTGGGGATATAAATGTATTCCTCTTAGGGGTAAATAAATCTAATAAAGAGATAATCAAGAAAGAAGACTGAAACCTGAACAAAATTTTAGGTAAGATGGGTGTGATAGAACTCTAGTAATTACTGAATGGAACAGAAAAACGTTTCCATATTTTTCACTTATCTGTGGCACTTTTACAAAAATTGTCTGCATATTGGAGCATCAAAAAGTCACCAAAAAATTCAGAAAAGCTTCTGGAAATATTATACATGCCCTTTGCTGACTATAATGCAACAAAATTCAATAATTTACCTTAGAATAAATGATTCAATTGGATTAGGGACTACATAATTTAATCCTAAGTAGATAAAATAATAAATTAAAGAAACAATAAAATTTTTATCAAAGGAAACAATAACAGTAAAATATAAACAATTTATGGGATGCAACTAAAGTAATATTTAAGAAAAATTAAAGAATAGATCAATAGATTAGGTATGCAATAAAAAACTAGAAGAGTAATAGATCAAGAAACCCCCCCAAAACACCAAAGTATAAATAAGAAATAAAACAATAAAGAATTAGGAAAACTAAAATCAAATATACATTGAGTAAAAAAATAAAACTAGAAGCAAGGTTTTTAAAATAACTAAGAAAATATGCAAAAAGTTTGATATTATTTTGTTTCAAAGAGAAGGGCAAACCTAATTGCATCAAAAATGCAAAAGGCACATTCATACCAATAGAAAATGAAATAAAGGAAACCAACAAATCAGATAACATAAATGAAATCAGTGAATGTTTACAAAAATATAAAACACCTGGATTATCAAAAGGAGAACCAGAGAACCAGAGAATGTAAAAAAAAAAACACAACTTAATCTCAGAAAAAGAAATTAAATGTCATAAATGATCTCCTCCCTCCATAATACCCCAAACTACATGGCTTTACAAGTAAATTCTATTAAACTTTAAAAGAACAATTAATTCCTATATGTCATAAACTATTTTCAGAAATAGAAAAATACCTTTTGAAACTCTATGGGACAAATGTGGCTTTGATGCCTCAAAAAAGAGAAAGAAAAGGAGCAGAAAGAAAACAGTAAACTGATATCTCTAATCAGCATTGATGCATAATATTAAATACAATTTTAGCAAAAGCTAAAATAATATATTACAGAGATGATGAGGCTTGGTTTATACCAAGAATATGATTTCAACTTGAGGGAAATTATAAAAATAATAAATTACATTAATTGTAAAAATTAGTAACAATTATTATACTAAGAAATGCTGAATAAGTCTTTAGCAAAATCTAGCACTCATCTATTAATAAAACTGGAAAGTATAGGAATAAACAGTCCTTTCATTATTATTACAAAGTAGTATTTGTCTAAAACCTTGAGCCAACATTATTTGTAATGGATAAGAGCCATTTCTAATATAATCGGCGTAAAGTAAGGATGTCCATTACCACCACTACTATTTAACATAATTCTAGAAATGCTACCTATAGTAAAAACAAAAGAAATTGAAGGAACAAATAGGAAAAAAGGAATCAAAACTATCACTTTCTGTGGATGATTTTAATAAAATTTTATTTTTTCCAATTACATGTAAAGATAATTTCTAACATTCATTTTTTTTACAAAATTTCCAGTTCCAGATTCTTCTCCCTCTCTCTTCCCTTCCTTCATCTTAAAATGGTAAGCAATTTGCTATAGGTTATGTATGTCCAATCATGTAAACCATATTTCCATATTAGTCATGCTGTGAAAGAAGAAACAGACCAAAAGAAAAAATAAAAAACCAAAAAATAATAGAAAGAGATAGCAGTATGCTTCAATCTGTAATCAGAGTCCATCAGTTCTTTCTCTGGATGTGGACAGCATTTTCCATCATGTGTCTTTTGGAATTGTCCTGGATCATTGTATTGCTGAGAGGAGCTAAGTCATTCATAGTTGATCATCACACAATGTTGCTGTTATTGTATACAATGTTATCCTGGTCCTGCTCATTTCACTTTGCATTATTAGTTCATGTAAGTCCAGATTTTTTTGAAATCTACCTGCTCATCATTTCTTATAGCACAATAGTAATCAATTACATTCATATACTATAGTTTATTCAGCCATTTCCTGATTGATCGGCATCCCTTCAATTTCAACTTTTTTGCCACCACAAAAAGAGCTGCTATAAATATTTTTGTGTGTGTAGGTCCTTTCCCCTTTTTTTTTTGATCTCTCTGGGAGATGAACCTAGTAATAGTATTGCTGTATCAAAAGGTATGCACAATTTGATTACCATTTGGGCATAGTTCCAAATTGCTCTCTGAAATGGTTGGATCAGGATTTTTTAGTGAATGATTTGAAGGTCCTTATGGACAAAAGAGTAAACTAAGAATTAATTGAAAAAAACTTATAATTTCAGCAAAAACAGGATGTAAAATAAATTAACCTAAGACATTAGATATTTCTGTACATTATAAACAACACAAAACAGGAATTGATAGATGATGAATCCCATTAAAATAACTACAGAATGTCTTAAAGTTTAAGAGTCTTTATAACAAGGTACATACAGAAACTGTTAGAATACAACTACAAAAGACTATGGAAATAAAAGTGACACAAATAATTAGAAAACTATTAATTGATCATGATTTATCTAAGTCTTCCACATCACAACTTTTCCCATCCTAGTTTCAAAATATTGTGGTTCAGCATAAGAAATTAAATGGGAATTTTTGGGAGTTTTCTGGAAGTTGCAGATGACATGCAAAGGCCAGTGGATGACATGGAAAAAAAATTAGCAAGTCAGAAATGTGGAACCCAAATTTTACAATAAGGTACTGTAAATGCTCCATAAAAGAAAAAGAAGAAAAAAAAATCAGACTTTTTCTTTGGTATGAAGGGAGGACCAAAAATATCTACATGGATTTTCCAGATCATAGGGGGCACCCTACACTCCTAAACCCTGCAATGTGGAAGGCATAACTGAATCACTGAAATCAGTTTATTTATTAATCAAACTACCTGAGGTTTATTTTAATAGAGCTAGAAAAAATAATAAAGGATTTCATCTGGATGAATGAAAGGTCAAGAATCTTAGGGGGAATAAAGAACAGATCTTAATAGTACCAGATCCCAAACTACACCACAGACTAGTAATCATCCAAACAATTTGGAACTGGTCAATTAGAGAAGTCAATCAATGAACAGGTTAGGTATATGACTTAACAGTAGTATGGTTTCTGATAAACCCAAAGACCCCATCTACTTTTATAAAAGTTTCCTATTCCACAAAAACTACCAGAAAAACTAGAAAGTTCTCTGATGGAAATTAGGTATAGGCTAACACCTCACACTGAATAAAATTGTGTTTCAAATGTGTATATGATTGATAAATAAGGTTAACAAATTTAGAAGCTCAAGCCTCTTTCAGATTTCCTTTCAGATTTATGGATATGGTAAGAGTTCATG